GGGCAGAACTTAGGTGGGCGGAGAAGATGAAACTGAATGCTGGTAGGAAGAAGGCAAAGTCAGAGAGATGCCATCAGAGACAGACACAGAACCTTGCCAGTAAACCACAACCACGTGGCAATACACAGATTAGTAGAAATGGGTAAAACTAAGATGTAAGAGTTAGCCAATAAGAACCTAGAGCTAATGGACCAAACAGTGATTTAATGAATACAGTTTCTGTGTGATTATTTCAGGGCTAAACAACCAGGACAAACAAATGGCCCCTTCCCCCTGCAACTATTCAAATATTTTTGTTGCTACCTCATAACTGTAATTTTGATACTGTTATGAATATAAAATATTCATAACATAAATATTTGATATGCAGGATATCTGACATGCTGCCCCTGTGAAAAGGTCACTTGACCTACATGTTGAGAACCTCTGCTCTACTGCTTGTTGCTGCTGTGACTTTAAAACTGGCCTTCCAGAGGGGATACTGGCAAAGTTTTCTGTCTCTATAAGAGCTATAACTCAACATGCTCATACAAATTCCTGGTAAGTAGAGCTGAATTGCTCCCAGTTTCTATGTGGTTGTTCTATACATCCTGTGGCATGGTCCCTCTTCCAAATATTCAATGTTTTACATGCTCAGCTCAGTGATATTTTTGTATATCAGTCCCCTCCAGGCTTCTGAGGTACCTGGTATTGCTTAGGCTGAAGCCTCAAGGTCGTTACCTGATTCTTTTCACTCTGCTTGCACCTCTGAATGCAATTCTCTCATTCAAGACTCCACAGAGAAATACTTCAGACTGAGCCCTGCAGCTTCCTGCTTGGTATCCAAGTAACATGTTCAGAAGTCAGAGATGTTGTTATGTGGCCTCAAGAGACGTTGACCTCATGCATTCTCAGGCACCAGCTGCTTAATGTGTCCTTGTCGTTTTCCCTCTTTTAATGATGGATGCGGGTGTGGTACGCAGTTTTCTCTAGGAGTTAGAACATATGTCACTAACATCCCCCCCATCAAATGAAGTATATATTACAAACACCCAGCATGACACCATCTACAAAGGGTACGTCCAGTAAGTGGTTACAGTTGGTATCTGTAGGCAGTTGTTTCCTTTATCTGGCCAGCCAGCATGGTAGTTCCTGACCTAGGCTGGTTCTTCAGTGTTGGTGTTATGTTCTCCAAGGAACAAACTGGATTTATTGGTCCTTCTGATTCTATAAAGAGATTTTTAAAAATACTCTCTGGATTCCTTGGGAATCACCTCCCAGTCCCTCCATATCCTCCCCTCATCCCTTCATCATCTTCCCCCAAAAAACTCCCCAAATCAATTAAGAATAAACAAAACAAACAACAAACAAACGAAACCCTACCTTGCTCCTCTATTTTTTCAACACCTCTTAATTCATCTTAGTGACATTGGGTACTACAGTGTGACACATGGCATACCCTTTGTCCAATCAGCCCCACCCAAAAAATGTTCATTGCTATGAGTTATTGGTTTGGTTCAAGGCCTCAGGCACACCATCATCACTGGACCCTCACCAAAACTCCTCTCGGATAGCCTGCTGCTGCCCTGAGTCATGGGGAACCTGCGACTCTCATTCTATAGGACCCGTTCCTTCAGGTGCTTCTGCAGGCCACAGATGGATTAGATGTTAGGGTGAGCTACCCCAAGGCCTAGGATGTGAGTCTGGGTGGTAGCTGAACTGGTCAGTCTAGGCCACTGGGACCACCCACCTCAGGCGAGGGGCAGAACCAGCTATCTTAGGCCCTTGCCAGCTTTCCCATACCTGTGGTGAGCGCTGGGGCCACCTCTTCTTGAGTGCTGGGGAGCAGCTCTCCCTTGGGGGCAGGGCCAGCTCTCCTCCTGCAGTCCAGTGACTGCTCCTACCCCAGTCAGGGGCCGTGTTGGTGTCCATGCCTGTGGTGCCATCAAAGGCCACACCATTACCTGGACTTACTCTGCACATATGATTTACTCCACACATTTCTGATCCTCTCCGTCCCCTCATTTCTCCATTTGTACAATGAGGGCCCAGTTGCTGTCAGGACTGTCTTAATCCAACAGGGCTTCTATAGCAAAGACCCCAAACTAAGTACCTATTAACAACCAGATTTATTTCTTACAATCTGAAGCCAGCGATGTCCAAGGTCAGTTGCTGACAGATCCAATGTCTGCTGAAGGCTCATTACATTCTAGAATGAGGAAGTATATAAAGTAGCAATGTGTCTTGATACATTCTCATTACAAGGTATCCTTACCAAGAATGATAGGAATGAGCCGGGGATTGTTTTTAGAAACAAGCCAGTCTTCTCCTTCTTTACAAAAATATCCACAGATGTAGAAAAATGATGCCCAAGAATTTTTTTAAGGACTAAAAGACAAAAGTATTTCCTGAAAGTTTTTTTTTATTTTATCATTTTAATATGAAACCTGCTTTTCATTTCCCCCAGTGGATGTCAACCCTCATCATCACCCTGCTGATAATTTAAAAATAAATTCATCTTGGGCAGAAGACCAATGAAGGAAAACTTTACTTTAAAAATCTACTTGAAATAGATTTTGTAATGAAGAACCGTTTAAAAGACAAGGTTGAAAAAAAGTGCTTTGCTAGGGTGAGACTGTGCTCAGAGGGTAGAATGCTTGCCAGGCATACACGAAGGCCTGGGTTTGAGCCCCTGTGCCACCTGCGCTGGGCAGGGTGCTGCATGCTGTAATTGCAACACTTGGAAAGTAGTGGCTCAGGTGTTCAACTTTATCTTCAGCTGTTTAACAAGACCTTGTTCAGAACGGCATCAGTAGACCGCAGTCAGAGTAAAGTTTTTAACTATATAACAACCTTGTGGGTCAAGACAGTCTGCGTAGTTTCTCCATTTCAATTTCTCTAGCAAGTTCATCTGCTATCAAGTAGGCTATGTTTTACTGCCTACTTCTTTATAAATACTGTGTGCTAACGGATTGTGCCACTTGATGCATCCTTCCTGCCTATTTCTGTTGGCTGGTTTGTACACTATATTTCCTAGGTTTCTAGCAGTGGCTGTAATCTACAGACCAGTGACTATCTCAAACTAACCTTTTCCTCTTTTTTTTTTTTTTTTGGTCTATTCTTGATGCTTTTAGCCCCTGAGAGGAAGAGGTAGACAGATTTCAGCAGGCAGAATACAATGGACTCAAGGAAGGAGTTGAAAATTGACTTCATATACACAGGTCATGTGATCATCTCATCACCTGACTTTGATGAAGCTAGTGCCCCACTTTGATACCTCTTCCATAAATACAGTTACCCCTCCTGGGACTGATCCGCTGATTTCTCTTCCTGACCTCAGTTCTCATTTTCATCCATCCACATTGCTACAAGTCTGTGTGCTTATTCCCCACGTGGGCCACTCCAAATCCTTTTGTCACTTAAGATCTGCTGGGTAGAAATTTCTTCCACCCTCTTCTATCACCTCAGAACTTGGAAATAAACATGGAACACTTCACGTATTTCAGCATGCCCGTGTCCAGAGCACAGGGACTTGTGCATGGGTGTGTGGATGTGCATGCAATGCCTTCTCTTCTTAGGAATCTGATGCTTGAGACGAGACTGCGTTCACCTTGGGGTTCTCTCATTGTCACAGACTCCAGTATGGTGCTTCATGTATAGCGGGCATTAAAATACCTAATGAGCAGGGAGAAGGATGCATGGAAAATATAGGGAGGGAAAGCAAAGATTATATCATTACTGTAGACCTAAGGAGTGGTACACAAGACAGAACCAGGGCTGAGATTGAGCCCGGAATCTCAGTGGACAGCAAGTGCCAACAAGGAAATGAGAGGCTTGGAAGACCACTAGTTTGTTCTGACACTCAGCCTCCCTCCTCTCTGTTCATTCTCCACTCTGGCTCATTCATAAGTCTGGGGATGTGTGTGTTTGCTGCATTCTAAACCTGGGTAGTCTGAAGAAACCCATTTTGTACTTAGGTTAAAGCATTGGGTTAATGCCTATTTCTCTCTGATCATGACTCCTCTTTCGCTTCTCAGGCTTCCCCTATCTCTCACCCATTCTCAACTGAAATGACAATGGCATGTTAGGTAGGACAAGGAGGGTGCAGAGGCTGATCCTTTCTTTCCTCTGCATTAGTTGTACCCATAGAAACATACCATATTTCTATTTAGAGTCTTCCTGTGTGGGACGTCTTTAGCTCCCAACCTCAGAAGTCATTGGGTCCTGTGCATCCGTAGCATTGAATCGGTCCATTTGCTATGGTGCTCACAACATACAACAGTGGCAGAGTGCTCACCACAGGCTAGCCTGCCTGAAAGAAGGCAGTAACTGTCCCTGCTCCCTCGGGTCTGATCCGCACTCAGTGTCTGTTCTGAACTTAGTGTCCCCTCCACACAGTCTCAATAAAGAGCTGCCGAGGGCTGCCTTGATAGCCCGGCAGTGAAGTGCATGCTTTGTAAGCCTGACAGCCTGAGTGTGAGCCCTCAAAACCCACGTCAAAACAAACCAGGCATGGTGGCATGTGCTTGTGATCCTAGAGCTGGAGAGACGAGAACAGAGAGTCTTTGGGGCTCACTAACCAGCCAGGCTACCCAGATTAAGTGAGCTCCAGGTTCAGTGAACTCTCTGGCTCAAAGAAAAAGTGGGCTGGGCGGTGGCACGCCTTTAATCCTGTCTCAAAAAATCAAAAAAAAAAAAAAAAAAAGAAAAAAGAAAAAGTGGAAGGTGACTGAAGAATGACAGCTGATGTTGTCTTATGGCCTATACACACATGCACACATGTGCACGTGCGCACACACACACATGCACGCACACGAACGCATGCACACACATACACACATATACACACACTCACATGCACATGTGCACACACACACATGCACGCACACACACATGCACGCACACGAATGCATGCACACACACATACACACATATACACACACTCACATGCACGTGCACACACACACATGCATGCACACACAGAGTTGGTGAGTGTACATACAAAATCATAAAGGAATAAAGAGATTTATCACTCCATTTTAATTTGTTAGAAAATTCTTAGCATCTCCTACTTTTCTTTGACTCTTAAGAGTTGTCAAAGAATTTGTCTATAATGTTATGGTTATCCTGAATAACGAACAAAATTTTGTGAGTTTATGAATGTTTAATGAGGCAGTGTCACTACCAGCTGGTTGGATCGCCAAGGGCATTCAAATTTGTTAATATTATCTTTAATTTGCTTAAATATTTGTCATCATTACTTTCAAGGGGTTCATGTCTGGGGTTATTTTATATCGTTCATTTTGTTGTGATTTCAGCTGGTTGGTGGTTTGTCTTAGTTTGATAAATTCTGCCGGAGCTGTCTGTACAAGGAGTTTTTGAATCCTTTTGTCACTTGCTCCACCTTCCAGCACCCCCAGATTAACTCAAAATGTAAGCCACTGTGGTATTTATGTTACAACAGTCAGGTCTGCAGTCCGGGTCACAGTTCATCATCTTCTGATAAAGAATCTAGGTAATCTGTGTCAACGTAGAGGAGAAATCCAGAGAATAAGCTGTCTGCCCAGCCTGGGTCTGAGAAGAGGCCATTCTGGTCATTGAAGAAGATCTCCAGCCAGACCTCATCTTCTGGCTGCAGGTAGATGACTGTGGACCCTGAAGCCACGTCATGGTTCCCTGTGTTGGCATCAAAGGTCCTTATTCGGTACTGCCCATTGTGTACCAGCCCAATTGCTAGATGCTTATTGGCCAACGTGATATCGTAAGAAAAGTAATAGATCCCTGGGAAAGCACAGATGAACTTCCCCGTGGCAGGGTTGTAGTGTTCCCCCTCATTGAAGAGGACCTTGTTAAATATGATGGGGAGCCTTTCTTCTGGGTAGCTGGTTGTGATGCCAACTGAAAAGGCAGATTTAAGCACAATGCTTCCACATCTGCACACTCCAGGCAGCCCTGGGTCCCCTTGATCTCCTCTGTCTCCCTTTGGCCCAGGAGGCCCTGCTGGGCCGACTTCTCCTTTCTCACCCTCTGGTCCCATGGGTCCTTTCTTCCCAGTCTCTCCTTGGTCTCCTTTTTCACCAGCAAGGCCCAGGGGTCCAGTTTTACCTTTTAGACCTTTAAAAACAGTTAATAGATAAATCAATAGTTCTTCTAGAGAATCACAAACAACATGCCTACACACCCTAATCATATCTTTTCAGCCAACTATCAATAGCTTCCTGCTAATTAAAAAGTCTTTGGAAATCACTGATATACTAAAAATGAAAATAGAAAAACTTCACATAGATTTTTCTCCAGTATTTGAGATGTCAACTAGACCCTGATTAATTAAACTAATAAGCTATTATTTTGAAGACAAATCATCTGGTGCTTATTAGTCATATCCAGGCACTTGTCACTATGAAAAGACTTCAGGAAGCTTGCTGCTATTTTTCCCTGAGTGAGTACCGAGAGGAGACAGAACCGGAGCAGAAGACGCTTTGGAGACATCTTAGTCTCTGTCTTATTCTATCCCTGTAAGTGTTAATAATAAAATAATTAATCAAAATCAAATTCGCTATTCATCATCTATTTAAATGTTTCATTTTCATGCATTATCTTATTTAAGTCTTACAACAACTTTAAAAACCAAGAATTATTAGCTTCATTGCAGATGAAGAAACTGAATCAGGAGAACAGAGCTACTGAGTGATGGAGCTGTGATCTGCACAGCTGCCCGTCCAGCTCTGGAGCCTGAGCACCCATCCTCTAGGGAAATGTGTTGGGTTGATCCTGTAAACCTTAAGTGAACCTGGAACGTTGGGGCACCATGTGCTACTATGACTAAAAAATCTTGACTGCTTCCACCACTCTACAGTCCTGCTTTTTCAGGAGGAGACTGAGTCCCGAGGAGGCCAAGGGACTTGACGATGTATCAGGATTAGGAGGACCCGAAGCTTTCCCAGCCTCATGGTGTCTTTCTCCCCTCGGTCTAAATGCCTCTTACCTTGCCGCTGGCTCTGACACTTAATGTCTCACTTTCAACTTGTCTCCTAACCTTTCCGGGTCCCCTTACATATAGAAAAAACAATGGATGTGAAAGAATTCCAACCAAGTCTAAGCCACTGTATAGGATTATTTTCTGCATGTCCAAAGCTTTACATCTGCAGGCTAACTAGAGGCTAACTACAGGGAAAAAATGATCTTGATTAAAAGCCATCAGCAAAAGTGACTTTTTTCTTTTATAAAACAGTAATAATTAGTATAATAAAAGGTTTTAATTCTGCAATCAAACCCATGTCATAAATAGTACTGAGACAATAGTATTTCTACCCAAAGTATCCAAACTGTTGGTCTCCAGTTGTATATTTTTTTTGTCATTCAGGAAACTGTACTGTTAAAACATGCTTTCGCTTGTAACCATGACTTTTTCTCGGGGACTCTTATTCAGCTATGCCATTTATCTTGCTGGTACGTTGATATCAGCTATTGGAGTGCTGTACATACTTCGGGTTAAATGTGATAACTCGATTCTTTTTCCCTGTTAATTGACAAAATGAACAAAGACCTATCTTGGTAATGTAAAGTTTAGGAGAATTAAAGCTTTACCCTGAAAATGTCAAGCACAGTGCTTTAATCCTCATGAAAAGGCTGTTTAACAATTCATGGTGCAGGGAGGTTATTGTCAACAAATGTCCCCGCTGTTGGTGAAACAAGATCAGCATCTTTATCCACTACAGTTGTGTCCCCTTAATGCAGATGGTTCTGTTGAGTTAAAACTCTACTGGACGAAGCAGAACACACCTGACAGGAGATTCTGAGCTCCTATACTACTTGGTTCTCTGGGGGGTAGAAATGGAACATAAACTTTCATTTGTTGTTCTTGAGTCAAAGACTACAAAGTCTGAAATTTACATTTGGGCTTCAACAGTAGCTTAACCTATTCTTCATCATTGATCCTCAATACAATAATAAAATCATTTGTGTGTCAGTAAAAATTTTAATCATAGGATTTTGTTACCAACACAAATCATGCTGCTTATAAGATTTCAGGTTAGTTCCTCCCTTTCTGGCTTCAAGGGCTCCATTTGTAATACAGAGACATTAGATATAAGTCTACTCCAACTCAGTGGGCAGCACAGTCAACAGTGACTCAGCATGTCTGAGATAGAACCCGCTTCAGCTGTGGACTGGGTAGTGAATCTGATGAAGGTGTAAGGTCCTCCTGGCTTGAGCCTGTTGTGGGATTCTCTTCTGTATGCGGTGAACGCCAGTGGTTAAGAAAGAAACTATCTTGGCCTTTGATAGGGCAAAAGAGTAGAGCTAGGCAGGGAAAACTAAACTGAATGCTGGGAAGAAGGCAGAGTTAGGAGAAGCCATGGAACTGCCACCAGAGACAGATATGTTGAAACTTTGCCAGTAAGCCACTGCCACGTGGTGATGCACAGATGAATAGAAATGGGTTAAATTAATATATAAGAGCTAGCCAATAATAAGCTAGAACTAACAGGCCAATCGGTGATTTAATTAATATAGTTTCTGTGTGATTATTTCAGGAGTCTGGGTGGCTGGAAACTGAACAACCAGCCTTCCTACTACAAGAACCCACTTCAGCTGTGGACTGGGCAGTGAATCTGAAGAAGGAGTGAGATCCTCCTGGCTTAGGCTTCCTATTTGCATTCACTGAAATGTAAATTATAAATATGAGGAATTCTTTACAACCTCCGTGCTTAAATTTTCTATTGTAATACATATTTAATACCCCAAATTGTCAGCTATACTAGTCATGGAGTATATATAATAATAAAAATAATATATAGGACCTCTTTTTTTATATGGAGAATTTTCCCATCTAGTAGGAGATTATACTCCCAGGAGAATAAATCATTATGCATTCAGGATTAAACTTTGTGGACGCATTGAAGCTTGACCATATAGTTTCTTTTCAGTTCTCCCGCAAAGAGAAAAATCTACTTAGATTTTCTCTTTAGAATTATTTTATCCTTCCTTTCATCCAAGCATCTTCTGTCTAGTCATCCTTCTGTCCTTCCTTCCTTCCTTCCTTCCTTCCTTCCTTCCTTCCTTCCTTCCTTCCTTCCTTCCTTCCTTATGTGATAGTGGCTCAGTGTGATCGACTTATGCATACTAAAATCTTTATAATAAACTGGAATGAAAAGAGCTTCTTGAGGGCTTGACAGATGGCTCCACTGTTACAGATTAGACTCACAACCAAAAAATATAACAACACTTTGTGGGATAGTTCTAGAAATATCTGAATGAGCATGCATTTGGATTTAATTGAATGTGATTAATATATTATGATGATTGCTACAGAGCAGTGAGATATGTTTTAGCAGAGAATTTATAATTTGGTGTAATAATCTTTTCATTTCTAGTTTAGGGTAACAGAGTTGGAAGAAGAATACAATTGGTTTTGCTTGGACTTGGTGAGGTGAAGGCAATATGGTATCCAAGAAGGGTACAGGAATGAAAAGACCTGGTGCTGTCACTGGAGAGGAAGCAATGGGCAGCACTTCCCAGGCTTTAACCCATTCGCCAGCCACTTTCCAAATGTGGTTTCTGAGTAATGTCTGCATCCTTTCACAATGACAGGTCTATCTTTCCTCTCTGAGCCATGTTTAGACTTAGGTGTGTCTGTTGGATTTACATCATCTTCAGTTGGAAAAGTCTCTTTGTTTTTTGAATCCCAATAGTTTCATTTGTAGCATTATTTTATTGTATGTTATGGTTACTGCAGATTAGAATGTTGGATGTTAACATAAACAAGTTCCCAACACATGGTCAGTATCTGGAGATACTACAAAGCTGTACTTAGATGGTCTTTTCCCTTCAGTCCCTGACAAGTGCGGGTGTTCCCAGTGACTAGAACAGGTTCTCAAGCAGCTGTATCCCTGGGGTCAGCTTGCAATGTCTAGAGCAGTGGTTCTCTGTAGTGAGATTTTGTTTGTGATCTAACAAGTAAAGCTTGCCTGAAGATCAAAGGGCAGAACTAAGCCCCTAGAGGCCAGGGAGTGGTGACACACACCTTTAATACCAGGACTCGGGAGAGAGAGGCAGAGGAATCTCTGTTAGTTCAAGCCCATTCTGGGCTACATGCAATTGAATCTGTCTAGAAGAGAAACAACTCACACAAAGGTGATCCCAGCACTTGGGATCACACACCTTTAATCTCAGAACTAGGGAGGTGGAGACAGGAATGATATGACTGTGTGGAGAAAGGAATATAAGGCGGGAGGAGACAGGAGCTCGGTGCAGTCTGAGGTTTTGGTGGAGATGCAGTCTGAGGATGCAGTCTGAGGTAGCAGTCTGGAGATGCAGTCTAAGGATGCAGACAGAGGATGCAATCTGAGGAAAGGATTGCACATTTGGTCTGAACATTGGTAGAGGTAAGAACTCTCTAGCGGCTGGCTGCCCTGCTTCTCTGATCTTCAGCATTAACCCCTATATTAAGGTTTTATTAAGGACAATTAGAACTAGTGCTATGGTTCTTGACCTACCTAATGCTGCAACCCTTTTTAATACAGTTCCTCACATTGGGGTGACCCTCAGCCATAAAATTATTTTTGTTGCTATTCCATAATTAAAAATTTTGCCACTGTTATGAATCAAAATGCAAATATCTGATATGCATGATATCTGTATTAGACCCCCGTGAAAGGGTCGTTTGATTCCCAAAGCGGTTGCAATGCACAGGATGAGAACCAATGGTCTAGAGCCATTTGTGGTTGCTACAGCTGGGAAAGGTGTGCCACGGATATGCGGGGACATGCTGTCAAACACCATACCTAATACTTCACCCTACCATGACAACTATGCAGCATTACGTGGCATTAGTGGGGAGGCTGAAAACTAGTCTCCACAAATGAGAGCTGATAGCTAGATGCGCACAAAAATGTTTCTGAGCAAACAGTGCACAGATACATAGAGGAATGAATAGACTGATGTATGCAGGACTATCCCTAACCTCATAGAGCTAAGACTGTAGCATTTAAGGACATTAAATCCTATCTGAAATAGCAGTGGAACTACCTTACGGTTATATTAATCATTTTTGTTTACTCTGTGGCTTTGAGTGGCCACAGACTTATCTTTGGCCTGTGGATCACAATTTAATAAATAACAATATGTGACATTTACAAGTACTTAGCACAAGCAGTTATTCCACAGGACATTCTGTATATATGACTACCCTTAAACTTCGCAATGGCCCTTACTGTTGCCAACTTTCAAATGAGGCTCAGAGACGCTATTTGCCCGAGGATGCTAAGTCAAGTAACTGAAAGAGCCAAGATTTGAGTCCGTTTTTCTGGTGCCAACGCTTGTGTGATAAACCACTACTTTCTTTCTTCCAGACACAGCAAGCTTCAAGGGTCGGTCATAGAGAACAATAATCTCTGTGCCGTTGAATTTTAAAGATATTTGTAATCGTGGCTCAAGGGTAATTTATATTCACATGAGCTACCTTATAGACAGTCGCCTTTGAACAACTACGTTTAAACTCCAAATTGAAAGTTTACCTGACATTGAATCTTTACATAAGGTTCTTTATTATTGAACAATGCTCACACATCTGACAGCTCTCAGTTTGCCCCATGTGTTCTGCATGGAGCATTTGGAAATGACACTTAGCCAATAATCCGGATATATACTGTGGCACTATCTCTCAGAACCCCAGTAAATCAGGTGTGGTGGTCGGGTAGAGGCATGTTTCTTAGATCTATGTATTTCTCCCCTTCTTGTCTTTTGTCTCACTTGTACACTAAGGAGCGCATTTTCAAAGATGGATTTCAAATTCCTGCCTCTTGTGGAGTTAACACAGCCTCTGGAGAATTTCAGTTTGGTTTCCTCTGAAGGGCTGGGGGGTCTGGCGAGCTTCCCAGGCTGACTTATCTCTAAGATGGGAAGCGTGAAAATGACGGAGGACGAGAGGACAAGTGTACTATTGCGGAGAGCCATGCAACAGGACAGGTGGGAGAGTGCCGTGTGAGGGAAAGGCTGGCTATGTGACACCGCTGTCCTTCTAGCTGTCTGCATGCAAGAACAGAGAAGAGCTTGAGGAATACTTGTTTAGAACATTAGCTCTGAGCAGGGTGGGAAACTGAGTTTCTGAATTCCAGTTCTTTCCCTGCTTTGGCCCATCTCTTTGTCTAGTAAAACCTCCACGCTTCCAGCTGTTGTCTGGCCATCGGACATCAGTTGTTGGGAGTCCAGCTCCAGCAGTCATGCATAGTGCATGCCCATCTGTGTCCCTCTCCTGCAGTGCCTTTAACCAGGCTCAGGTTTCTTACCTTCCCAGAGTTACAGCGTCCACCCAAGAGAGTTGTCACTGCAGCCAGCTAAGGCTGGAAAGAGCTAAAGCAGCATTTGAAGCATGGTGGGAAAAGGACATTGTTAAGATCACGGAAGGTGAAGCAGAGGACTGATTGCTTGAAGGGGCAGTTTCCACCGAGAAGAAGCAACAAAGGGAGGAGTCTGAGGAGGGGTGGAGGGGGTGTTTGCTGAACCTCATGGTTCCTTACCTGCCGTGCCCTTTTCTCCTTTCTCTCCTTTCCTGCCATCTCTACCATCCCTTCCAGGAAGGCCGATGCGACCATGGGGCCCAGGGGAGCCATTTGCTCCAGGAGGGCCTGGGGGACCCGGTAAGCCCGGAATGCTGCAGATGTACCTTGGAGAGTAGCTCTCTCCCTTGGCCTGATTGCCCCGAGGTTGTCCACTCGCACAGATGGCAAGACTTGTCACGTAGAGCAGGACAATCATTTTGGGCTCTAGAAGAGAGGGACAGACATCAGTGCACCCTCCAGGGAGGGGCTGTGGCACAACGGAGTTGGTGTGTACTGAAGACTGGGCGTGTGCACCAGCCTCCTCCAAATCTGATTTTCCTCGCGTCTAGAACCCCGCTTTGCCTCTCCAGATGTAAAGATCTGTCAATTTGTTATTGACACGGAATCCTCCGTGCCTAATACGGGGACTGATAGAGATGAAGGATGAAAACATTCTAAATGCGCCTCCTGGCTGCATTTATTCTGCAAGAATGCATGGATTTAGCGCAAAGACCTTTGCTTTTTGTGCTATGAAAGGAAAACGACACACTCAAAATGACTCAGATAAACGTCAGCACTGCTGCCACTACGCAGAGATAACTAATTGTTCTTTATTGTTTAGCATATACATATCATATACATATCATATACACATCACATACACACCATATACACATCATATACACATCATATACATATCATATACATATCTCCAGTCCTCCTTTGGGCGTCTGTACTGTGGAGAAAAGTGACCTTGTGCCAATCCTGTGATGTAGGACTTTGCTTTTCACTTAACATTGATGTAAGCTCTTAGAGGACCAATTATCTGTAGCATTAATTATTTTTTCTCTCTCTCCTCTCTTGCATGTATAGACGTGGCTTGCAGAGCTGCGCCAGCATACACACGCTGGGAATAATCCTCCTCGTCTTTGCATGCATCCGTCAGGTTTTTAGGATGCATGGGAGAAAAGAAACATTTTTGGAAAAACCACGTTTTCACTTGTTAATCATGTGTAATGCCAATTAGTGGTAATTAGAGTACTGTGCAGGTCCTGGGGGAGTCTGACACATTAATTTAAAATCCTCAGGATATGATGCCTCTGTGTCCCATAAACTGTTAGCACTAGGGGTCAATTAAAGAGCTGGGTGAACTTAAACTGTGCATAGCGCCACGTGCACCGTGGAAAGCAGATCCAGGTCTCTTTGAGTCTAACCCAATAGGACTTGGCGTCTTGCTCCACAGAGCCTGGATGCAGAGAGTAACGGAGGATTTATTAGTATGACATTCCGGTGTGCAGGCTAAACACATGGTGTGGGGGGTGACATAAGCTGGGGAGGCCTGATTTTGCAGACTATGCCATCCTTAGGGATGAGCAGTTTCTTCAATGAGAGAATGCACACATGTGTTTCTGTTGGTTGTGAACATGAATAGTCTTAGGATAGCTGGGCCTGTGTTTTCATACAGTCTTCACAGTGCTTGAGCTGGATAATTCTCTCTGAAGGAGGATAATAATAAAATATGGGAAAAGTGATCAGATGTTGTTTTTGACTGCCACCCCAGGAAATTTAAAAGGCACACTACTTTTATGGCGCCCATGGGGAGAATGCAACCTCTTGGAATTATACTCAAAATTTTTGCCCCACCGCAGGATTAATAACCTAAGAAATATGCATGAGATTTTGGAATAATCTCAAGTCTTAGAGATCTTATCATAAAAAATGTTTAAGCAATGTTTTCAGTGTTACTAGACCCTCCTATCAAAAGATGAAAACGCGTTTGCCGTGTTCTATGGACTGGACCTGCCACACACTATTACATATCAGTCTGTGTTCTTCTACATAATGAAATACCTGAGGCAAGAGCTTCACAAGGGAAAGAGGTTTATTTAGTTAGCAGTCTGGAGGCTGAAACTCCGAAGACCAAAAATGCCAAGTGGCATAGGCTCTCTCAAAGGTCAATGTGACTGCATCTTACGGTGGCATGTAGTATCAAGGTAGGAGGGATGGGGGACAGGAAGCCAGGACAATGGAGAGTACCTATTTCTTGACTTTGCTCTGGGCTCCACCCCTTAGAGCTCCTCCCATTGCCTCTCAAAACCACCACAGTGGGATCAAGCCTCTAACATGGGAATCATTGTGTTAAATCACACCCCAAACAGGGCAATTACCAACCTCATACCTCTGATCCTAGTGTTTAAATGGGATTAAGTCACTTTCTGACATTCCCTGGAGTTCTGATAGCAATATGAGCCCTTCGGGGGACTTCATGAAGAGGGACCAGAAACATGCTAAGAGCCAGGGGACCTGGAGGGCTGTTGAATTAGGAGTGGCGGGGCTGCGTCCCCGGCACCCGGCCGCCCGCATGGCTAGCTTATGCCCAGAAATAATTACACGGAAACTGTATTCTTTCAAACACTGCCTGGCCCGGCTAGTTCCAGTTTCTTATTGGTTAGCTCTTACATATTGTTCTAATCCATTTCTAATATTCTGTGTAGCCCATGAGCTGGCTTACCAGGAGGATCTTAACCTGTGTCTGTCTGGAGTAGGAGAATCATGGCGACTCCTTCACTAAGCTTCTTTCTCCCAGAATTCTCTTCTGTTTTCTCCACCCACCCTTGGGGCCTAGGCAGTTTATTTATTAATAAGAAATCATTCCCACATCAGAGGGCTGCTGCAAAGGAGTTTCAGCTGGTTGTGGCAGGGATGCTGCTTCCATAAACTCCCAACACCTATAGCTGCCTGCCAAGACCTCCACAACAGCACACCAAACAACATCCCAGTGTGGGTGGGATAAGGCTCACAGTATCCCCTGCTCCCCTCAGTGGAGAAGCTATGACTCCCGAGGGAAAAATCAGTTTTCTGAAGATATAAGCCCCATGTTGTCTAAGCTCTGATGTTCAGCCCTAAACTCCTGTATGTACAGACACACTAATACATATATATGTATATTTTCTATCTCTATATAATATATAATTATCTCTATGAGAGAGAGAGAGAGAGAGAGAGAGAGAGAGAGAGAGAAAGAGAGAGAGAGAGGACATAAATTAGAAAATGAAATGTGGGGTCATGGCAGGATTTGGAATGGCTATGATAAAAATGTATTGTACTTGTGCAAAATTTTCTTTTAGAAAAACAAGAAATGATCTGTTTGGAAGAAAGCACAGATAAAAATAATAGAAGGGGCATCTTATGCACAATCTTTGGTATCATTAAAACTTGATGCATTGATTAAAGTATCAGTTCCTCTTTGTAGAACACACTTAAGGAAGAGGCTCAGGAGGAGAAGGCTCAAGAGGTGGATGCTCAGGAGGAGGATGCTCAGGAGGAGGAGGCTCTGGAGGAGGATGCTCAGGAGGAGGATGTTCTGGAGGAGGAGGCTCTGGAGGAGGAGGCCCTGGAGGAGAAGGCTCAGGAGGAGGATGCTCAGGAGGAGGAGGCTCTGGAGGAGGAGGGTCAGGAGGAGGATGCTCAGGAGGAGGAGACGCTGGAGGAGGAGGCTCAGGAGGAGGAGGCTCAGGAGGAGGGTTTAAACCATACCTATACAGAACACCAATGACTGAAGACTGAGGTCAAGAGGGATTTCTGAGAAAAACTTGAGAGTATTGGGAGAAAAAGAGCTTTGGGCAGTCCGGGCCCCAGTGGTGGTGTGAAAGCCCTCATGGGAATGCTATGAAAAGGAATGGGCTGGGATCTGGTTAGTGGTAGACAGAGGTAGCAGGTCGTTTGGAATGTGCTTGGAAGTTTGACATGGGTGCTATAAACAAAACCCAGATCTTCCGAAAGAGCAGCAAGTACTCCTAAGCACTGCGCCATCTCTCCAGCTCCTGTTTTTACATACATTTAAAAATTTGTATTCATAAAACCTTTTCTAAAGTCTAATTTATTATGCTTAGAAGATTTTCCACACTTCAAGATACTAAATATAATTTTATATTTATTTCAATTCTCACATTTTATTTTATCACCTATAAAGAATTTCTCCACCCGACTTTTCCTGATTAAAGACGTCGAGGCAGCCATACAACTGCATATTTCCAGCATCATTTCCCGAACAACCCATTCTCATCCACTGCCCAGAGTTTAATGCATCACACGGAATTTGGTTGTTTTGACTGAGAATAAACCACATGAGTCAAAACTTTACATTATAATGACTTTGGACAGCTTGGAAAGACATAATTTGCACAGCATAAAACTAATCAAAGTATACGGCTTAGCACACACGATAAGCCAACCTTAGGATATGTTTAAAATCCTCAGGAGAAAACATCTCCATTAGCAGTCCCCTCTCTTGCAATATGCTTTCAAGCATTGGCTTGAATTATGTAAATTTATGTAGAATATGTACTGGCATGTATTTTATTTCCACTTTTATGCTTCTTTGGACTTAGAAAATCAAAGCTCTGGATATAATGCTAATCTCAGACAGGCCCTGAATGCTAAATGTAAATGGCTTTCTACCCTAACTTTTTCTTTAGGGATAGCAAAGTGACAGATCTTTTTAGATCTTAAAACATACATTTAAAAACATATGTATATTCTAGACTCTTCATGTAAATATGTATTCTGAATCTTTAAGGGAGGATGTAGCATGTTATTTATTTATTTATTTATTTCATAGAATCCTTTCTTGCCAAACTAGCCATAAGAAACACTTGGGGAGGCATTGATTAAGTCAATGCAAAGACTGAGCCTCTAGAAAATATATGTGTAGCTTGAGTACATATATATTCTTAGTAAATAGCGTGATTGTTGTTCTAAGACTAGAAGATGTTATTCATGAGAACACAAATGCTGGAGAACACTTCAAACACTCAAACGTGGTGAAGTAGGCCCACTTCTGGGAGTATACCACAAAGAATTAAACACAGGGACTCAAACTGATATTTGCATACTCATGTTCACGGCAACAGCACTCACAGCTGCTGAAAGGGGCAACCTGAGTGTTCACTAACAGATAAACTGTGACACGCATACACAACAGCTTGAAAAATCCCAAGACATGTTGAATGCCACAACATGGATGGGCTTTCAAGGCTTTATGCTCACAAAACACTCAAGTCAGAAAAACAGCAGATCCTATAATACTCCTTTCATTCAACTCGCCTAGACAAGGCACAGTCACACAGAGACAAAACTTTTAAAATTCACAAAATGGCACAGCTAGGATTTGAACTGACATCTTGTCGCAAGCTCTGAGTGTTCATCTATTACCTCATGACAGA